CTTACTAGTCTGCCTTTATGTGGCCTTTTCCTTCTGGGTCGAAAATCTTAAAAGCATTCAGAATGGTTTCTTCTGGGTCCGTGCCTAAAATTAATGAAATATAATTTAGAAGCCTGAATGTATTTCTATAGCTGCCGAATACTTGCTAAGTAATTGCATTCACTTGAAAACAGTGCAAAATGGAGAATTCTGCAGTTGTAGGTTTGAAGACAAAGGTTCCTTAAGTCGGCAGCATTTGTCATGTCAGATAAACAATAGAGGTGAATAGTTCAATGCTCAGAAGCTTAAAAATAATAACTCATATCTATTCTATGTCTGCAGGAGAGAAAACTTCCAGGAACTGGTCTCCAATATCAGTACCCAGAGGATTAGTGGCTTTCAGAAATGAAAATATAACAAACTGTTTCCCTCGCTGGCTTCCTTTAATCTTGTACTTTACGTTCCTTGTAAAAACATTTTTTGATGTTACTTGTTCTTCACTATATAGAGAAGAGGTTATTTCTCTCACTAAAGGAAACAGAGCTGATCATAAAATCAGAATGTCAATGGAATGTGATGGAAACAGGATGATCAATGTAAAATGGTGATCTGCAGTTACATTCTGTAGTGCACTTCCACTTAAGTATCTCTTCATTAAGTGTCACTTACAGAAACAGGATAGCTTAAAGCACTAGACTATGGCTCCAAGATTGTGCTTCTGCTTTTAGCTGGGCCACAGACTTTTGGTATGACTTTAATTTCCTTGCTCCTCTGTTCCCAGCAGTAAAATGATAGTAATAGTGTTCCTTTTCTTCCATCCTTTATCTGTCCCATCTATTTAGACTGGAAAAAATTTGAGTCAGGGACTAGCTTTCCCAGCCCCTAAATCTTGGCTGGGGTTTCTGACTATTCTGTAATACTGCAGATTCTGAGTATATTCATAGTCAGTTTCAACCCACACCAAAGGATATGCTATATACTCTGTTTCTGACAATTGCCCAGTTTTTCAAAATATTATGGTAATATATGTAACACAAATCGTTATTTATAACTGTAGGAAACTAAATTTAGAAGCAGGTAGACTGACCCATGGGCAAATGAAGCTGCTTAGGATGCTGAAATGTTGAATGCGTGATTAAAAAAAGGTAATAACATGAAGAATTGCAGTTTCAAAGTTTGTTTGAAAGTTTGGCAGAGATAGAACCGTAATAGAACGCAGCCAAGGTTCCCTGCTGTAATGACTACATACACTCCTGATGCCACCTTAGTTTTCTTTGTTTAAAAGGTTTCAGAAGAATTAGTAGTAGCATCTTAGTGGATATAATGGTGAATAAACCTAAGGCTGTGTGGCCTTCTTGTCAGGCACTGGCCATGTATACTTTTTTGCCAAGCTGTAGGCAATGTATTCAAACTGCGATGAATATATGATCAATACAAAGAACATTGATATTTAATGAGTGTTTTGACTGTCCCATGAAGAGAAACGTCTTCCAGCTCCGAGGAAAGGTCTGCATTTTAAGTAGTCACCACTGTGTGGGGGATTTTTTTTTTCCTTACTGTGTTTTACATTTTCTACTCTGTCATATCCTTGGACTTTGGCTTTGAAGAGAAGCAATGCAGCAGGCATTCTTTATTGATTAGCTGGTAAATAAAGTGGTTTCTTTGATGTGCGGCATCTCTGTTTTCTGTACAAATTGTATTATTCTGACTCCCTGTAGAAACAGCTCCATGTGGTTGGCATTAACATAAACCGAGTTTTGTTAGCTGTTCATCTGGCATCATAATCTCAATATACAAAGCTAAAGCTCGTCCTGAAAATCCCAGTTTCCCCTTTATGACAGAAATCAATTATAGCACAACAAATTTTACTTAGAAAGCACCTTTCACCAAATTCTCTGAGTGGTACTTAGCTAATAAAGAGTGTTGCAAAATTGCCATATCCACTTCCTCTAGCCCTTTCTCCCTTTCTAATTGCACTACAAAGGCTCTTCATCCCAATTAGTTTTGATTGGGAATGTGCAGTCTTTTGGCTCTGCTTCCTTTGCATGACAAACCCAACCAGAAGGGCATGACAAGCACAGCTGTGATTTTCCCTTCACCAAATGGAAATTAAAAAACCCCTCCTCCTCTGCTAGTGGCCAACAGGAAACCTGCAGACAAGAGGGGTATGCTTTACCATTCACCTTCCTGTGCTGGCTCTCATTTTAGGCCACACGATTGGCAGGGCTGGATTCTTTGCCAGCTTCAGCAATCGTAAGAGACAAGAGGAAAGAGGGGAAAGGAAGAAGAGCTCATTACCATGCTCTGTGTGATCATAAGCATCACAAATAGACAGGAACGGGTAGCAGGGCACCCCACAAGAAACAGTCACATATTTGAGAAGGAAGATTATGGAGAAGGGCACTACCTACTCTGCAAGATGCTATCTGGAATGTAAAGGTGGAGATACCACTGTGATCAGACAGATTGATGTCTGGGTAATAAAATCCCCTCCTCAGTGTCAGTCTACAGCCTTCTCCATCACCTCTTAAGCTTCCCAGACATGCTGTGTTCCTTAGCAATAGTGTATTTCTTTGAGGACTAGCTACATGAATTCTTTCTTTCAGACCTCTCTAATTTCCATTCCAAGCATAGAAAGCCCTTCACTGAAATTGTGCTCAACAGTATAAAGGCAGAGTCCAGTAGCAATACAACAAATGTTTTTAAAAAGATGAGATCAGATTTTTCCATTTTCCTGTTCATTAGTTATTTTAACAAACTTCTGGAATGTGCTTGGATAAGGCCAACCTTGCTTTGAAGGTCAAGGCTTTCACCTATGTCTAATGCATATAGGAAGATAACTAGAGGTTTCTCTTGGCCTCACACTCCCTCTCTTGCAGTTTCTAGCCATTAATGGTGTAAGAAATACCAACTAAATTACTAGCTCTCACAACAAATTTAGTACCCACATTTTCTAAACTCCCTCCAGCGATCCCTATATATTCTGTGGCAATGGGCAAAATCCCTCTCCCTTATCATTGTAAATCCACTAAGATTAAATTATTTCAGTTTATCCACTCCATTAAGAGCTGTTCAGCGAAATCTTCATTCAATGGTAAAATCACTCTTGTCCTAAAATGAAACCAAGGCTGGGCGACTGGGTTACAGCTAATACAGAAAATGAGGGAAGGCCGTGTTGCTCCTTCATGCCCTATAACTGCAAGGATGATGCAGAGGTCATGTTTGCATAATGAGCCACAGGACTGCCGAAAGTTTTTTTGTAGAAATACTGAAAATACTTTTAAACCAGCTAACACTGGGAGTGATACACTATAGCAACAGACTTCTGCCAAGGAACCTACTGACAGTGAATAACTCATCTGCACTGTGCTCCAGGCTGCTGTGATTTCATTACTTTCTGGACCTCAGCTTACCACTTTCTCGTTAGCTTATGTAAGCTGAAATCACACCTTTGAATTGTCCTCTGGACCGTCCCTCCGCCTTTTCTTACTTCAGCTCTGTCTGCAAAAATGGAGATCACTCCTTGCCTTTAAGCATTGTTCTGTGGATACATTATTATAATTTGCAAGGGGCTGAGATATTTCAGTGCTGAGGATCTTTGACAGATACCTCTCCAACCCCCCAAAGGTACTTACCTTTCAGCTTTTCCCCAAACATTGTAAGGAAGACAGTGAAGTTAATAGGACCTGGCGCCTCCTTCACCATGTCTTCAAGCTCCTCATTCTTGACATTCAGACGACCTGCAGCAGAGATCATTTTTCATAATAAATCACAAATTGTGTTTCAAAAAATGATTCCCATTCATCTCCTCCCACTGGGGAGCTCAGGGCTCTGTGCAACTTTGCTAATAACATGGTAGAACACAACTCCAGAATACCCCAGTGTAAAACAAATTGGCAGAGCTGGCTCTAAGATCAAAGGGTGACTGAAGGAGTAAGAGGGATAAATAACATGGACGTGGCCAGCAGTGGACAAAAGTGCACTTCCAAATAAACTGTTTTTCTTTTTCGTTTTTGGGTTTTTTTACCTCAGGTGAAATACAGGCCCCACTGATATTAATATAGCAGAGTTCAAAGTGACTGAAGTGAATCCAAGGTCTCAGTCTTTGCCCTCCTGTATATTGAGATGCCTTTCTGAGCAGAGGGCAGATGGATGAGTTGAGTAGTCCTATCCCTTCCCCATCCTTGTGCAGTTCTATTGATGAGAATTTAGACCTTAGCAACCCTCCCCAAATTGAGTGGTAATTTGCTGTGACTGCACTTTATAGGCATTGAGGGCTTCACTGAACAGGAAAGATACCAGAACTTGGCCTTAAGAAATAAATATTTCAGGATAACAGTAGCTACAGGCCAAAGTTTGCAAACCTCATTGTCACAATAAAGAGTTCAGGAGCTTCTGCTCTTTGCACTGACTCTGCTGGCGTCTGATTCCACCCCAGGGAGCACTAAAGATTCTTATCAAACTCTTTTTAATAAGATCCAGATGGCAAAACCCCAAATGCCTACATCACTGTTCAAGCCTCAAATGTTGCAACGAGGATACAACTCCAGGTTTGGGATAATGAACATTTTGATTTTTCCTTTCCTTGGGAAGATTTTCTTTAATCTGCTTGATATTATCAGGATTGTGATGCACATGGAATGGACAATACCTAATCTCATGACATGCACATTCCACCCCGCATAAATGCACAACAGCACAGAACCTCACATGAAGATGTCTTCCTGCTTTTGTGTGGGCAGAGGGGCAGCTAGTCCATGACAACAACGTTAATTGTTAGATATTGCATGGCTCCTAGATGAAAAAGGTGCTGCCTGTGAAGCCTGGATTCAGAGGCAAATCAGAAATGCCTGGCATGGACCCCTGCTTGGGTGGGCTTTTTATGAAATAGTTGCAGGGGAGGGATCAGTGCCTTTGGAGAGCTGCCAGCTGCACAGCTCTCTTGCACCCGCCAGTGAGTCCCAGAGAGACCTTCATTTCACTTCTGAAAGAGGCTGCTCAGGAGACTTTCCAGCTGGAGCTATGTAGTAAGATAGCAACTACCATAAAGGAGGAAGATCAAACTGAACAGGTTTCCTTTTGCCTCCTGTGTATCTCATTACTGTCTCCACTGTAATTCTAATACAAACTTTTCTTACGTGCTTGAAATTTAAACTGCCTTTCTTTGAAGTATTTAATTATTACTACCAGTTTACCTAGTGCAGCAAATGTGTCTCTCAAGTCTGCTTTGTCAATAAAGCCATCCCTGTTCTGATCCATGATGGTAAAAGCCTGTTGGAAGAAGAAGGAAAATTTATTGCCATTGCCATGTTGCACTGGGCAGTGCTACAATCACACATACCAGTCCAGGGGGGTATTGTGTTCGTGCTGTAAAAAAGAATATTTAACTTCCATTGATTCATCCACATCATGCCCCATCATTGCACTTTTCTCACTTTCAGCACATTACCATATCTTGGCAAGGGGCTTAATTAAACCCACCCAAACTTCTTCTTACTAAATTAATGCTCAGTGCAGCATGTAGCTGGGCTGAAGCCAATGCTGGCAGCTCCAGCCATTCAGGCCTTAACCCATAAATGTTTGAATTAGGGAGGCTTTAGTTAGGGAGGATTAGTCAGTGGTTACTCTGTGTGTTTTGTACCTTTCCCGTACCTCATTCCTTTGTGAAGCTACCATATTCTGTAAAACATTTAATTACTGTAGATATCTCTCTGGTATCAAGATAAAGGCAAATTCTTCTGGGTCTTAAAATGATTTATCATACAGAGATAGCTGAATTTTCAAAAGTACAGAGAAATGTAGGTTTCATAATATTATTTATTCAAAGTTTGTTTCCCTTTCCAATAAATCGTATCCTTCAGACTGTACTCTGTGCTCTGACTGACCTTGATGTGTTGACCTTAAATACTTCTTGTCAGGCAAAATTTAACTTTTGATAGAAAAAACCCAGTTATTTTTCTATTTTCAGCCAACACAGAATTTATGTACTCTAACCATTTTTTACCAAGCCAGCTAACTGCCTATCTATCTATTTACCTATTCGCATGTCTGTCTATTTTCTGCCATACTTTTAATGTTTCATTCATTTTGAAAGATTTTAATAACCTGAATTTCCCCTGGTCATACTATGGGGAATATAAGTAAAACGAGGCATGTCTCTGAAGCTGGTTATCTGTCTGGCATGCACATGAATATGAGAGCGTATCTTTACAATGACCAGGAATTATTCTTACTTCAGTATTATTATGAAAGACAACGTTCTCCTGAGAATACAGCTAGTCCATTGCAGCTACAGTAACTTGCAGAATTTGAAAGTCTACAGCTCTACAGGGTGCACTTCTTTCCATGATTGTATTATATCAACATATCTTCATGTAGTTTTACCTCGAGTTTCTTACAAAGCCCCACTGCTCACATTCCAGTTTGCCCATGTGATTACTTGCAGCATGCATGTTCATAACCCTTCATTTACCTGCCAAACCATCACCTTATAGAAAATTAAGCCCAACTCTTTAGAGTTGCTTTCCTCACAGCCACCTAACTAGACTTTTTTTTTTTTTTTTTTTTTGTGTGGGGGGGGGGGGGCGGGGAGAGGGGCTTGCTTTAAATGGTGATCCCCACAATTTGGAAGCAAAACCGAAGAAAAGATGAAGAGCAAAGCAGAGCCCAGCAAGCTCACAGACACAGGAAGAGTGTTAGGTATGTATTGTAATGGGTGAACTTAAAATAACGTAATAACAGCAATGCTGAAACGTCTTCTGTTGACCTGGTTGAAATCTCTAGCTAAAAATGTCCTGATCAAAACCAGCTTTTCAGAAATACTTGTCCCAAGTATGCAGTTTTTAGACATAACATGGTTTTCGTTTTCACTGGACTACTCCACTGCCTCATGCTTTTTGCCATTATTCTGCCACCATCCCCCCAGAAATGCTCCTAGTATTATCTTATTTAAAGTAGATCAAATATAGCATTCTGACCAGTTCCTCTTTTTGTTGGTACATCTTCAAACAGAAGTCCTTGGAGAAAATAAAACTGGAGGTTCATAGGACACAGTGAAGAGGTGGGAAAAGAGTGTTAAACGTGTTCCTATTAACTGAGGGGAAAAGGTTAGTGGTTTCAATTCATTTACCTGGGCCATATTCACAATCCTTTGCACGGGTTTTTAGACTCATTCACCACTGAGCTTTACTTGTGGGAATCCTCATGAAAAATAAAGTTGAAAGCCACATGCACAAAATGAAACAGTAGCTATTTATCACACTAGAAATTGCTTTGGAGATTTGAGTTAGCAAAAAATTGGGGAAAAAATTAATAATTTAAAATTACAAATATGTTCAAAAATGTGATGGCCTCACAGATATTCTAGAATGTCCACTCAGAAAAAGAGCATAAACACATCAAATTATCTGTCTTTAACATGCTTCAGCTTTTATGCCAGCCCATTAGATTTGCCTCCTCACAGGTAACTGGTCAAATCTTTGGGAGCTAAAAGATGCTTACTTAGTTAATCTCAACATGTTGTTTTATTTTATTGGCATTTATGGAGAAAGTCAGCTGAGGGCTTCTTGGTATTTTTGTTTCTAGTTTGTGGGCAGTATTAGAAGGGCACAGAAGAATTTTTTCTATTGCTGTTGTGGAACAGTCCACTAATTAAAGCCCTGGTTCAATAAGGTATCTCTATTCAGGATAATACTTGAGCACATAAGACTACTCTTATTTAAAATGCCACTTAACTTTAAACATGTGCTCAAATGTTTTCCTGAAGCAGGGCTAAAGTGGATGAGATGATAATTTTGCTTTATTTTGGGGAGGGGGCTTGGGGGCTATTCAAATAAGTCTAGAGCTTGAAACAGGAGACTGAAGAGAGTGAGAGAGGGACAGAAATAAGGAAAGAAAGAATGAAGAAAAGAACAAACAAACGCACAAGGAAAATGATATACCAGCCAAAACCACAGAGATGATTCAGAAAACAACTGTGTGTTCTATTAAAGCAGATGGAGAATGGAATAAGGATTACAAACAAAACCTATGTTATTCATTAGCAATGACAGGAGACTATAGAGAACAGCAGAATAGCAACCAACCTCTTTGAACTCCTGGATCTGGGTTTGTTCAAACATAGAGAATACATTGGAACCACCTTCTATCTTCTTCTTTGCCTTTTTTGGAGCCTGTAATACAAATAAGAAGATCAAATAATATTACTTTGTGTTAAGCACACATGAAAACAAATTCCATCTTTAACAGAAGGCAAAATATATACAGTCAAGTAAGACAGGAGGACTGTGTTTTGTTATGACAAGGTTTTTAATTCAATGCATTTTATATATATTTATATATAAATGGGATAAAAAAATGCTGCTTTAATAACAGATGAAGCTCTCACTGAGGCTTTTTGCCATTCCCTTGCTCTGGCCTGGAACCTGACAGGCCAGATAAACAAGGACAGCTTGTCACCATGCTGCCTTAAAAAAGGTGAGGGACCCAAAGTGTGACTCTGAAGATCATAGCTGGCTCCCTGCTTGTAGAGTCACCTGTGCCAGACCATTTGATGCAGGAGATTACTCCCGCTTCTGCACTGGCTTTTCAGAGCTCTACAGAAGGAGTGACGTAAGCTTATAGTCTCACTCAGATGTGTAAGCTAAAATTCCCAACCTGTTGTTCTCAAGAAACACAAGCGATTCAGGTAAGTGGCTACAGGTACTCCTTCTTCCCAGTTGCCATGCAGGGACAGGCAGCCCGACCCAAAATGAGGCCCTGCATGAAGACTCAGTTCAGGAACTATAAAGGGAAATTATATAATTTCCTACTCTCACAGAAATGTTTAGAAGTCTGCTGTCTGGACCAACACTGATGGAACAGATTCTGCCTATGTAGGAACACCTTCTACACTTGGAGGACAGTCTATATTCTTGCATCAACCTATGACACTACACTACATTGCCTTACTAGCCCATATAATTTTAATATTCAAGATAGTCATCTTAAAGAAAAGGGCGGGCCTGCTTTTATCACTATTCTGTAGTCTGAAGACTGAGACAGATAAACATTGGGCAAAGAGCTACAATGATATCTAAGAATCTAATGCTCACTAAAAATCAGTCAGAACTAGACTTCATTATATGTCTTTGAATAAGGGCCCAACCAGCTTGCCTAAGACAATACAGTTCTTGTTCTGCAGTAAAGAATAAAATCTGTGATTCCTAAAGATTATAGAAATGTTTTAACCACAGCATTATCCTTACTTGGGGCAAGATAATGAGCTACATTGCCTTTTGAATTTCCTTCCAGACAGATTATTTTTTTCTCTATCATTTTTACTTTTAAACTTCATCATCATAGTCCCACCTGGTTCTCATGTCATGGAAAATTAGTCTTACTTAGTTTGGGTTATTCTGCATGAAAGGGAAGGCAACTTCTACTGTCTCCTTTCATCAAAATAAAAAAGCCCGAGAAAGTTCAAATTCAATACTGATTTCAAATATTCTGAGGAGCAGAGCAGCTCAAGGAAATATTCCCACTTGACTCTGTTTGAAGCATACATTGTCTGATCAATTTAATTTGCCAGGCAGATTTCCACACTCAGCCACCCAAGTTAGATCCCGAGTTGAAAATTAGGGCTATGGTATACACTCACCCACATACCCACACTCCAGACCTGTCAAGATCCAATCAGCTAATGCAAAGCACTAAAATCTGGAAATAGGAATGGAAATTAAAAGAACAGTGTATTTGTAGTGAGGATAAAAATAAGGATAGAACACCACCACAGGCATGCAAAAAAAAGTAAGTGGAATGTTTAATGAACGTAGAAATACTGATTTTGGAATAAACAGATTCCCTCCTCCTCCTCATGAAATAAGTGTTATTTTGAGCAGTAATGGGCAATTTTCCATGTAACGTGAGGTGTCTGGTGGAGGTTTTCAACACTTCCAGATCGAATGGAAATACTAAGAACAATCCTACGTATTTACATGTATTTGTTCCCCGAGGTAAAAAGAAAGCAGATGTTACCCAGCGGAATGTATTGCAAGCCGTCTGGGGGAACTGACCACAGGGCACAAGGCTGGCCTCAGCGTTTTTGAACAGGGTAGTAGAACTGGTTCTCCTGTGCTCGTGTGGCTGGTCTTTATGAAGACAAAACATGCTTTACCATTCTCATGCTCCGCTCTGCTGTGACCAAATACAGCATCCATATTCAGCATGATAAATATTCTGCAGGCTAGCAAACAATCTGCATCTTTTTAAGCTAGCACCACAATGAAGGACAGTGGGCTCCAGCTCCAGGTTTTATTAACTTTAAATGCCAAACACTGGCAGTACCTCCATTATTCCTCAGTTTAATGGGTTCCCTGTGCCCTAAGGCTTTAAGCAAGGATTGTAGCTATAAGAAAGCATCAGATAACCCCAAAAGCTGTGATATAGTATCTATTAGAAACAGACCAGCAACACAAAAAACACCCAAAAGTTTCTTTACTTTAGTGAAGTCCTATGCAAGGCAAAAAAGATTGAAGACTAGTTACCTAGAAAACAATCACCATACTAACAGAAATTCATCCTAGCATATTTGTCAGTGTTACTCTCTGGTTAGTCATCTCCAGGGATGATAAAGGTGATCAGTGCCCATGTCGCTCAATCTATCTTTAGTTTTTCTGCTGAAGCTCTGGGTGTGGATCCTGTTTATGATCTGCTCACTTGTGGAATGGGGCTGAGACTACCAATACATTTCAGAGGGGCCAATGAACAGCTGTTAGACAGGAATAGCGTTCCATCACCAGTTTCAGGCTGTCTTTTGGCATCAAACGTATAGAACATCTTGGATTATCAGTATACAGTATTGGGAATGTAATTTATCTGATCTGAAAAGCTAGGAAATTCATAATCACCAAAAGAAGCTGCACCTTGATTTTGCATGACTGGCGGGCAGGCGGGAGCTATGAAGAGGAAGGCTGGGAGATAAGTTGGTGAAGCCGGAACAGAATACGGTATATTGTCACTGCCTTCTGGTGGGTAAGTCAAATTAAAAGGCAGCTCTAGGAGAACAGAAACTGGTCTGTGCTGCTGTCTGACAACTGCAAATACTCCAGAATTTTTTAATTAATAGAATCAGGATTCTGAATCTGGAGTATCTCTCTGAAAGAATGGCATAGTAAAAAGAGCAACACAGAATCGAGCAAACGTGGTTCCTAAACTGTCAAGAATTTAGTAGGTGACCTACAGAGAGGCAAGTGGGTGACTGACACATCACTTCTGTCTGCCTTGATTTCCCCATTTGTAAAATGCAAAGTGTGCCGAGCTACACTTTGCAAAGATAGCTGCTCTATCTTTGCAACATTACTTGGGACTGACATACAAAACGTGCCAGATGAGAAACTGAAGAGCTGAGGGTCCCCTGGGCTCAGATTCCGAAGCTTCAATAGCACAGCAGTGGGAAGAATGTTGCAACAACTGAACAAGCCTATTAATATTCCTGCCTGAGTGTATTAATCATCCCATTGTGAAGAAAAAAACACTTCACTTTAGAAGAGAAACCACAGGCTTGTCGCATATCACTCATTTGTCTTACTAGTGTTAGCACTCTTTCAATTAGCCTGGACTTTAAAAGGTTGGGGGTATTTTTGTTTGGTTTTGGTTTGGTCTTGGTTTGTTTTAGAAGCTTTAAATGAAAAAATGGAGCCACACCAAAATCTGGTCCCAAGAAAACACTGTTGAACCAGGCATTTTCTGTGAGCTGAGCTGCCCTCACTGAGGTTCTTTATATTTCTCCTGTCTGGCAGTGTCAGGGAGCCAGAGAGAACAAGGATAGTGCAGTGACACAGGCAGACAGATACAATGAGTGTGCGTTGCCTTTGCTCTCTGTATATAAGAATAGGGATTCTATTTTTTTATCTGTTGTAGAGGGGAACGTATGTTCAAGTGAATCAGAGTGAAGAAATCTCTGATTTCAGGGTGACCAAAGAGAAAAGGGGGCAGGGAATCAGTTTATATCTCTACATGCAAAGGAGGAAGGAGCTGAAAATACTTGGTTCTTATTTCAGACCGTGAGGCGTTGTTTACCCTGATAAATTCATAAAAGCCTGGTGCTAGAGTAGGTTCATGACACCAGAGATACAAAGGAAGTGACACTGGATTGTTGCAGAACTTTATCATCTCAGCCACTTCAATGAATTTCTCAGACAACCCGGAAAAGTATGGTAAAACAGACAAGTTGCTGCAAGACAAAGAAAGGTACAGCTCCATAACTGGCGCTGCTCTGCACTGACTGTTCAGGTGCACACTTCTACCCTTCAGTAAGTATGAAGTAACCGACCTCTTCTTAGTGTTTTCTGAAGAGCAAGAATGTCTCCACAGGCAAAATGGGCAGCACTGCCAGAAGCCACATTTTTTATTCGGTTTGGGGTTCCCTGTTTATTCCAGCATGCCTTAAATCACTCAGAAAATACTCTAAATAACAAAAGATGACACAGTTTGATATTCCTGACAGCCAGTTAAAACACAAGCTGAAGCACTTCCCCACTCAGCAACTTAATGTGTCTTCTTTTAATATTTTGCCAAAGAAGACACCAGTGGGTAAGCAGGTCTCCTGGGAGTCCTTCAGAGAAAAACAGTGGTGTACACTATTAAGAGCCTGATTCTGTTGTCTTGTACCCTTATGTGTTCATTCAGCTTAAGGCAAACTAGACGTAAGATACTACCAGCTTTAAATTGCACCGTTTCACATTTCATACTTCCTTCCTCTGCAACTACGTCCGTGACTACAGAAAAGACAGAATCATCCATCATCTTGCTCAGATTCTGTCCCCTACTGTGATCCACAGTATGATGTTATCTCTGAGTTACTATTACTTTTTCATCCATCACACTCTCTCCTTGTTTTTCATCCACTCTGGGATCTCAGTGCTGACATTTCCTGTCTTTGAATTTTTGTTATCATTGAATCCAGCTTCTGAATCTGAAGTTACATCTCAGGCTCATCCAAAGGATTTTTGCAGCACTGGACAGGATTTTCGTTGATTATTGTCTCACAAGTTTGCTCTGCTGAGATAATTTGCACTGCATCTGCACCCAAGATCCCAGCTATGGACAAGCCGCCCTTTTTTAGCATGGTTTATGCCCTTTTCATGGCAGGTGAGCAGCATAAGGCCAACCCAAGTGCATGCCTTTGAGGGAACAGTCTAGAGGAGTAAGCAACATAAATGCTCTAAGGGCACAATTTGCATTTCAAACAGGCAACAGCCTCAGATCATTCAAATAAAAACCCACATTATCAGAACTGAGAAACAGAAGATCTTTTTATTACCTACTCTGCACTCACAAACAGATCCCTCCCTTCTCATCCTCACTCCATTTTATATGTAGTCCCAGCCTCCCACACACCCACACAGACACACACACCTTTGATCCCTGCTAGATACAAAAATCTCTTGGACCGCATCCTCCCTGCTTCACACTCCCGTACACTAAAGCATTCTCCTTTACCCCACATAACATCCCTTCCCAATCACAGACTCCTCTTTTCTCTTGCACAGATAGATAGAGAGAATGCATTATCTCCCAAAATTTATCTCGGAACAGCAAATAACCTCTCCAACCGCAGACTGCTCAACCTCTATGACCCAAAATTCGCCAGCAGCTTTCCCCACCCAACAAATTTTCTTCTCTGGCATATACATGTCCTCCTCTTTCATGTAAACAGTTGAACAATCCCTCTCTACTTACACAGCCCTCTATGCTCAGAGACACGCACATATGTACACACACATGCATGTGCAGATGCATACACAAACACTTCAACAGCTAGTGAAATCGGCATTGCTCCACTGAGGTCAGTACTTGTTTCGGTACAGGTGGTACATTCCAGACAGTTAAGCAGGCTGCAAAACACATTTGATCAGAATGCAATCTATTTTTGGGTACGCAGATCCCTTCAGCATACAGAATTTGCTACAACGTGTCACTCGAACTGAATAAACACAGGAATGTTTCGGGAATAAGAAAAAGACTTCCTTCTCCTTCCTTCCGCCTCTCTTCTTGCCTTCCTTCTCTCCATCAGCACAGAGCATGCAGGGAGACATCACAGACCCAACTTCACTGAAATGCCTTGGAATTAACAGAGAGCCGTAGACAGTTCTCAGAACTCCATTCCACAGCACTTGTGTGGTCTGCTCTTGTTAGAAAAATTATCTCCCTGAACCCTGCCTCTCTCACTCTCATCAGCCCTGTATGTCAGAGCCTAGTAGCACTGGCTGACTTGTAATTATTTTTTACTATGCTGCTTTGTCTGCACTAATCCTTTGAAAGTAGCTTTACTGCACCTCTGAAATATTATGATGCTATAAAACCTCTGTAATATTTATAAATCCCTTAAGACATCATAAAGAGAGAAAAAAACCTCCCCACAGAGTTCATCTAGCATAATTACATATACATTTCCCTCTGATTAATAAAAAATGATCACTTCCTTATGTAAAGATATTCTTCAGCTTTCTTTCATTAAGGCTATTTTTTCTTTCCATTTTAAATCTGTTTCATGTGTCCCTGTATAGTAAGGTACCTCAGAAGATATTTTCCCAAAACAAAAGACACAATGAAAAGAACCACCGCAGAGAATTGTCAGTTGAACTGGGAGCGAGGAGACAGAACAGTCTCTCACAATATTTTCACATCTCCTAACTTAAGCAATTTCACCACAGAATGTCCTGAAATATCTTCAAACATCAAGCAATGTGGTGTGTCATCGAACTAAATAGGAGAGAAGAGAACTGATAAATAAAAAAAGAAGGGAAAAAGAAAACCTAAGACCCAGCATGCCCCCCACCCCACAAACAGGCTGGCTTAGACTTTAATGAAGCTGATTAAAGGGAAACCTGTAAATCCACAACTGAAGAGGCACAACCAGTACAAGGCACTGCTCACTTCTAAAACAGTGGTGAAGAACATGACTAGTGGCTTGCATGCTTATTGTGAAACCACTGACACTGGGCTTGCTCTGACTGAAACCGGAACCTAGTTTTGTGCGTGGATTTTAGAAATTACTTTGAATGTGGTTTTATCCTGCTCAGAACAGTGCTCGGATCACATTCATCACCTGCTTAAATGGGATCAGGTTTGAACTAAGCTTTGAGAAAGCTTTTCATATACAACTCCCTCTCCGGTGTTACGCAGAATCAAATATTTCATAGCCCCAGGGAGCCACTGAGCAGCATTACTTTAAGACAGCCTGAAAAAGACCTGCAAAAAGGAGAAAAATAAGGAAAGAGAACATCACCAGCTTTCGAGCTTTTGTTTTTAATATTTTTGTAGTCATTCCTCTGAATTTGCAGAAGACAAAGATAGAGCCTGATCTGCCTAGTGCTCCTTAGGTAGGAGTTCTCCTTTGCTCCTTGGAATCACATCAAGTGCATCTTTGGTGCAGAGGTGGCTGTTGGAGTCCCAGAGCTAAAAGCCAACAGCAAGCAGGGCAAAGGCAAGACACAGACATTTCTGCAGTACTTCGTACTTCTCCCTGCGGTCTCGAGAGCAACACAGTTACAATTATAGAGATATCCCTTTCCCTCACTCCTCATCATAACATAGCAGACCTTAGCACTAATTAACACCAGCCATGCCATCCATTGCTGCCCTAGTGTATTAGTCTTGGAAAGAGATGCATGAGCTCTTCGCTTCAGCAAGTGCATCTGCATTCCCTTACTCATTTGTTAAACACATGCAGGAAAGTCCTTGGAAGTTCACAGCTATGGGATATATCTTCATTCTGGATGTGATACTAAGTATGAGATTTCATGGGGACCACTGTGATGAATACTGCTCTGTTTGAATTATTAGAGTCGGAAAGAAATACAGACAGAGATAAACAGACAGACATGGGAAAGTAAAACCTACCATACTGCTGCTGCTCCTTCCACCCCTTCTCTGCCAACTAGTCAGCCAGCAAACACAATGCCAATTGTCTCTTTATATAGTGTCACCAAGGAATAAAAATATGCCCGTTCCAAGTTTAGACAATAGATGTAAGGTTGGAAAAGTGCAGTAATTGGATCCCAATACCATTCCAAGCATCTGTTCCATGCACGGCTTTTGCTTTCACAGAAATAATGCAGTAGATAAGTAGAGTAGGCAGTTGGGATACAATTGTACAGCACTCACAATAAGCTAGAGCTGAAGGGGCTTTCCCATGTGCTTCTAAATAAGGAACACAGGGCACACTAAAAAGATTTTAAGTGGACATGGCATCCTGTAAAAGCAGAAAGAGAAACACACTTCTTGAGAAAATGCAGAGGAAACTAGCAATAAATCTAGGCTACTGGGATGCCTGGTAGCTCCAGAGTCTGGTGCATGCATTCAGAGCTCCAGAAGAATGACTGAGGTTCTGCAGAGGTGCATCTCTAACTGGGAGGTATGCTGGAAAGCACTGCTCTGCAGATGGCAATAAAGTGACTCAGATCAGGTCTGTTTTCCCTGAATCTGTCACACATGCTTGAAGTCCAGGGGCCAGATCTCAAGCTACTGCAAACTGATGGAGAGTCGTGGACTTCAAAGCATGAAAAAAGAGGTATGTAGTAATGAATATGGTGTTGAGAGCAGGAGAAAACAGAAGGCAGCATAGGAACCACAGGAGCTGTGTCTCCCGGGGAATGTGCATGGACATTTAATGCATACACACTCCACCCAATTCATAAATCATGTTTGGCATTATCACACTGGGCCAAAACATTAACCAGTACAAAATGGCATAATTCCACAGACATGAAATCATATTTCCGAAAGGTCTAATCTGTGTCTGTGAGAGTATCTATACAGGAACGCCAGTGCATTAAAAACAGCACCACAATAGATTTTTCAGGAACTAGCATCTGAAATACTGGTCTACATCAGTCACACTAACCTGGAGTCACAAAACTGCTTAACCAGTCAACTGAACTTTGAGATAGACATGCATTTCAGTATTTAGTTGAACAAGGACCTTCTTCTTTCTCCAGGTCCACCCCCTTGCAATGCTGTCATCTCTAATCTTAGATTTGACTGCATGCTCTTCAGGGCAAGGACTGTTTTAGCTGTTGTGAAGTACCTCGAACACCTACAGGAATAATTAAGTAATAAATAAACATAATACAATTCATCTGGCTTTAGCAAAATTGTCATGGATACAAGTAAGTTGCATGTTAGCCTAGTGTTCATCGTTCTGACTTCAGTGACATTATACCAATACCGAACGTAACACAGCGTAAAAATAAATCCCTCAGTCCGTTCGCCTGCAACCGCCTGCTGGATAGCAGACCCAGGTTTGTATACTAGGTTGAGTTTCGTAATCTGAAAAACTCAAAGTAAGGTTTTTGAGGAAAATCTTGCATAATTTCAAAGGTTCATTGTGATAAAGACTTATCATGTTCACAGGGTTAGATCCTGATTCAGCAAAGGTGTTAAGCATCCACTTAACTTTAAGGAAGGAACAGTTCCACTGAAATCAACTTAATAGCTCCCATACTTACATTGAAGAATATGGTTACTTGTTTTGCAGGATCAGTGCTCTGATCCCAATAAGACAGCCAAATGAGCAGCAGCTTTGCCACTGAGTTCACTGGGCCCAGGATTCCATCCTTTGAATTTTGTGTCCTTTTTTGGAAGAATACTTATCTTTTCATCCAGCCATTTCATGAGTTTGTCCTAACAGCTCTGTTAACAGATGCTTTGCACTGTTTCTTTAGGACTTTTGCTTTCTCTTATCATCTAGTGTATCATCAATCATCATTATTATCATCAATTTGCTCCTTAGTTTTCTAGCTTGATCTGCAGGCATTTTCCAATAGTGCCTGTATTTTCTACATTGATCTTTGTCTTTTCACAGAATTTCTATATTAAATGAATTCTTCCAAGCTGTTTTTAAATGACATGACATGTTAGGATAAAACCCACACAGTACTGTGTGTTTGTAATGCACGTGTCCTGAGAGACCAGAACCCTCTCTGCTTAGTCTATAAAACAAATCCACAGAGGAATTAAGGGAGACATACATCTTGGCTTTAAAGGTCTGCTTGCTTCTGCAACTGCCTCCAAATTATAGAAAGGCTCCAGACTGGAGAGGGGAGGGAGAGAAGGGGGGGATAACATAAGGACTGAAAAAGAAAGGCTTGAATTTAATTGCCCTAAAAATTTCAATCATTCAATCTGGTAATTAGAGAGCTGGCTGATTCAGAAGGCAATTTCATTTGAAAAAAAATAGAACCCAACAAGATAATTGATGCTAAGTGAATATTTTACCTGAAATATTAAATACCAAACTTAAGTCTGCCTCCAGGGCCCTTTCTGCTACCCGTTTTTGATCTGTCTTTCTACTTCTTTGTATTCTCCTCTCACATGACTCAACAGAACAGGACACTCCTTCAGAGAATCAGATTGTCACAGGTACAGGTTTATTTGAACTCTCTGTGCTGTGAAGGAGACAACATAATGATTTATTAGTAAAGAAAATAATAATAGGAAGTCTCCTGAGATCCAGCCTGGCTGCAAATCTCAGTGAGATATTCCAGTGTTGAGTTTCTGTGTCTGGCCATAAGCAAGGGTTGACGTCCTACCAAGGGTAACAGCTTCCTTTATAAGCTTATCAACAGGTTTCTTTATGAACTTAACAATACTTACCAGAATGTTTCATGTTTCATTCTGGACTCTCTGATGCTGCAAAATGATACTTAAAGGTAGATCTCCGCAGTCATGCAGAGCACTGTGGATGTCAGTGTCACAGGGGTCTGATTGCAGAGATCTCTTTGCAGGATGTGGAGCAGACCTGGTTTATTGCACACTGTTCAGAAGAAGTAACTGCTAATTCTCTAATATTTAATAGCCTAAAAACAAGGACCACATCTTAAAGGAATGTTGCATGCCTGCAAATTAAGTAGATATTAATTGATACTACATTTTAGTAGATGGAGAAAAGATAAAGAAAATGCACATTACCTACATTGGCTTCTGATATCATGTGCTGTTCTAACTGCGCATCCGTGTGCCTTTTTCACACAAAATGCTACACTCTATTCCTGTTAGCAATATTAAATTTTCATCTTAAAACACCTTTTTAAGTGAGATTCCACATCTATTACTGCTCAGGAAGACCACTCAAATATATTCAGGTGCCTTTGCAACTGTCATCTTTGAGACCAATCATGAAAATGTTTCTGATCCATACAACATTCACTATCTAAAAAAGATGTAGATGACAGGACTTAGTCACAATTCTTGTAGTGAGATGGGATGCCAGATGGGATGTGGCCTCTTCTCCTAGTCCAGTGGGGACAGAAAAAAGCTACTAATGCTGAATATGTTACATAGGAAATGTATAATAAGTACCTTTGTAAGTATTCCAGCTATTGCAGACTGAGTTTTGAGACCAACTTCATACCACAACATGACACTTTTTCTGCACACAGGTAGTTTTCCTTCGTATCTTTGAGTGGCATGCCTTCAAAAGAAGACATGTGACAGTTAATGGTATTTGGGAACTGAAACCTTCCATTATCCTCCCAATAGGTAGGGACAATTCCCAAACCTTTAGAAGAGATGTATCCCAGCCTTCACACCAAAGAACTGCACTTTCTATGCACTATGGATTGATCTCTGTGTGATATCTAATTTGGTGCTGAGTGTAAAGACAAGGCCAGTCCTTATCTAAAAATAGGACTCAGGTGAGCCCCATCCTGGCACTCTGTATTCTGGCAAAATGTACCTTATGGAATTGCCAACTACTACTGTTCTCTGGCCGTGTCATCTGCTTTCTCATTGCTATGTGCTCCTAACATCCTCTAAGTCACAGATGTTCATTTATTCTACAAGTGGGGAACAGATATACTCAGCAATTTATCCAAATGGAAATAGGAATTAAAAGCAAAGCAGCAAACTGAAGCACTGTCTTGCAAGTCCTGGCAGGTGTGCAAACTGTAGATCAGGAGTATAGACCAAGTGCCTCTCAAGTAGGCACTAAAGTGAGAACACCAGCTTATTCCAGCAAAGCCACCAGCAAGAGCTACCAAGCTGAGGTGGATCTCAAGCCCCCCAGAGAAAATTAGCAACCTCCCTTGAGCCACCCACTTTTCCTTAATCACATTACATTAATGAGGAGCTCCTCTTCTTTTCAGAGCCATGATGATTCCCTTTTCCTTTCTCCCTACAGTAGTTTTCTTAGCAGCTGATTAAATCCTTGATACAGAGGACAGGTTACACAGTGCTGCTCAGAAAGCCCATGGGCTAAGCTTGGTCTGACTACTGTATTTTGGACCCTGGCAACAAGGTGAGTCTCAGGAAAGTTAGTCTTATGCTCACTGTATATGGAGCTCCTACAGTTCAGGTACAGAAAAGAAAGAGCTATTACAGATACATTTGCAGAATTTTAAATAAACTAAACAGTGCAAATCCCACAGACAATCTTCTCTTTCTTTTGAGCGGAGACACATACGCCTATTTCAAAACAGCCAGGGCTGCTGTAACTGTTGAGTTCTGTGCATTTGTTGTTCAGGACACTGAATCCAAACCTTCTTCTCTCCTTCTCTGACTTACCCCTCCCTCTCTGAGAATTCATAGCCACTATCTAATCTGACAAAAACTGTGTTCTCTTTTATACTTGGAGGTCACTTTATGTTACTTACAGTGTGTTGCATTATGTCAAAAGGCATAACACAACATAATGAAAAGCAGACTAATATAACTCAACGTGACATCAATGACATAATATGATGTGGCTACTGAAAAATGCACTGTTGTCATTGTTTTGTGTTTTCATCTGATACCTACTTGCTATTCCAGCATGGGGCATTTGTTGCAGAATTTGGAGAAGGTGGTTATGGACTGACCATGCCTGATTCTGCTGTGGCTCCCATCATTTTTGCACTGAGATCACTTCATTGGCTTTGTTGGAGTTCCTCCTGATTTACTCTAGC